AACGAGTTCAAAATTTAAATAAAACGCGAGAGTGCGCGCAGTTTAAAAACCTGTTTGGCTTTTGCCTCAAATCAAGAAGAACAACTGAAACATAATGAACAGACTACKGCCAATAGCAAATGAAGAAGAAGAAAAACAAAACATAAATATAGTTGTCATTCGAAAATGTTATCCGGAATTAAAACTAGCGTGAGAAAAAGCCAATAAGATTCTGCCCAAAAATTGTGGTATATCAACAAGGCAAATAACGCCGAATTACGAAAATCGACCTCCAGTCAAACTGACTAAATAATATTCGTAATAGCCGTTAGCAAGCCAAGACCAAATTTGTGGTCCAATGCTAAAAGATAAATAGCAACAGCATCGAGAGCAAAAAGAAAGGCAGAAAGGCAGACGGTCATCTAGCAGGCTGGGAGCTGTGCACGGATTAGAGACCAGTTTCTTGTGGCCGAGAATCACGGCTAGCTTGCGTGGTGCCTGCTAGTAAAAGGAAGAGAGTGTTTGCCAACTGGCACTGGGAAATTGAAAGGCCATGTAAATTACTTGATGAGCTGACGTATCCAGCTGCGCCTGGTGAGCGCTCGTCTTAGAGAGCGAGTCGCTTCAATTTGGTATTTCTTATTTATTTATTTGCATGCCTGAGAGCTGCACAATTGTTGTGGTGACTATTTGTTTATTAATTATGGGCACACATAGCGCACACACATCAACTGACAGCGACTGTTTAGGGCTTTATTCAAAAATCTCAGCCACAAGTGCCGCTGGCTTAATTAACGACTTGGCCATAAGCATAATCGACCCGCTTTTCTTGGCTACCATAGAGCAGGCAGTCACGTGTGATTTATTAAAGAACTCAAATGCGTATTTCGATTATGACAAATTCATTAATCATAGCCAGGTTAACGACATTTTGTATTTCCAATTTGGCTGATCAATCAAACTGTGTGACGACACAGCCACAACCACAGCAACAGCCACAAGTCAAAGCCAGAGCCAGAGCCAGACACCGCCACAAGCCAAAGGGCCCGCTTTTGTTTATGAACATATACCATATACCAGGGGCAACACGATTGCTGACATGTGACGAAGCTGGGCACATTACCCAATTATTTTGAAGCTTACATTTTTATTTCGGAATTGTGATTGCAGACTTCCACATATACACTTATGCATAAATATATGTATATGCGTATATTTCATAAATAAATTCCGTACGTTGTTTACTGCCTGAACGTGAGCGTGTGTGTGTGTATGTGTATGAGTGCTTTGGGCAGGAATTTGTCAAATATATAGGAGTATTTTGATAAAGACACAACAAATAAATAAAAAAAAAAAAAACGCAAAAGCACTTCATCACATCGGTGAGGCTGCGGGGGCCTACACAAACAACAAACAAACAATCCTAATAATAAATACTGAAGGGAATGGGAATAAACAAACTGCAATTGTTTACTCCACATGTACATACACATAACTAATTCGTTGGCATTCGAATTTCTTTGACATGTCACGCATTTGATGGAATAGAGGTGCGGATAATACAAGCTCGAATTGCAAATACGTACAAACATATGCAAACTATGTGTATGTCGCCGATACAACAATTTGCAATGCTTGCGCATGCATATATAACAGTACTCGTATACATTCATATGTATCATACATATATGTCCATATAGCGACACACATAAAGCGTCCGATTCGTGCTCGTCTGGTCGTCAACTGTTGATAACGCCCGCACGCGGGGCCCAGAGAGTTTGCCTCGACGTCGTCGACATCGACGTCGTTTTCAAAAATGCGGCATTTGACACATTTATGAAAATCGGAATCGGAATGCGCCACAAACTCATATTATTGGAATGTTTTATTTTCAGTTTGGTCGTGATACGCAATAAATGTGCGTGTGCATTTGCTTATACAGACGTGGGCGTGTATGTGTAGTTGTGCACATACAAATACAAATACATATACATAGAGAAGAAGCGGGAAATATCTTGGGAGTTTAAGTTGCAGCACATTCACTGCAGGTGCAAATTTCTTCCACTATGATTCATGCTGTAAGGAGAAAGAGTGATGGCGATTAACAAGTTGGAGACTAAAACTTAATGAAAGCTACCTACACTAAATATGTACATCTGCATGTTTCTGTACATATACACAGAAGTGTCAGACAAGACATTGCTAACATTGTTAAAATACTTTCGAGTTTATAGGACGTGAGTGCAAAGGTGAAACCCATAAGATATGAGGAGGCACGCATGAGGAGACGGGCCCAGAAATATAAATAACAAAAACCGGTGTCAGGCGGTGTCATGTCCATAAAAGTAACATCATCAAAAAGTAAGCCTGGTTGCTACTGTTTATACGGAATTGGTTAATGGGAGCCAGGTTTAGATATTTGTTAAAACTAAATGAACTGTGGACCAAATGTCGGTCGGGCACTCACCGCTCGAATTGTTCTGCACCATGGTGGCCGCTCGAGAAAGAACGTCCAGAGCAGATTCCATCTTATGTATATTATGTATTTTTGGATAGCAGGAAACGGTCTGTGCGTGGACTCTAGCTATAGCCGTGGACAAGGACTGGATGTCTTCGATGTGCACCGCATGAATTTCACACTGTAAATACAAGAAACAAATCGACCGAGTCACAAAGTGTACATACATAGACATTTTAAAACCATATCATCAAACACTGCATACAGGCGCATGCATATACATTCATACATACATACATACGAACATATAAACGGWGCGCAAAACGTAACAAAGAGTAGCGCTGTGGCCGCTGAGTGGCTCAAACAAACAAGGCGAAATCCTGCTGATGCTGATGCTGCTGCTGGCTGCAAGTAGTTTTCAGTTTTCATCGCTAGGGCGATGGACACGGGTTAGGGGTGGGAAGACCGCAAGCACGATGCAGTTGGGACAGGTTTGAAGACAGCAGCAACAGCATGAGCCATCGCAGCCCAAAATTTGGCACTGACCAGGTACAGCAGCAGAGCGCGATCACAGCACACGTAACCGAAACGGATTTACCAAAATGCCACATTGTTGCCAAGCATGCCAGCAGCTGAAGATTTTTTTTTACATTTACCTTTGCTTGGATGTCTTGAAAAATTTCTATGGTCGTTCACAAAGACCCGTTTTTTAGGCTTATACGACACGGTTTTTGTTGTTCTCCTGATGGTAGATGAAATTGCAAATATTTGAATATATTTTTGAGATCTCTCGTTTGCTAAACAGGCTAAAAACGCTTTACTAAATGCTATTTAAATCCACTGTAAAATTTACGAAAAACAACACACTGCAGTGTTGGAAAACATTACTCATTTGCTCTATGGGCTCATTGTTGCGTCAATTCTCTTTGTTTGCGTTACGTATGTGATTGTGCGTTTACGCTTCTCATTTTTGCGTTCGTGCCTTTGCGCTACGTGATAGTTCGGCTTCCTCGCGCTATCGTTGAAAATTTAAAATTTAATTATGAAATAAAATAGTACGCACCAAGAACAACTAAATATATGAGGAAAATAGAATATAAAAATAAAAAAATCAACAAATACATAAACAATTTTTATGTTTATTCATTTAATTATATGGATACTAGGAGATGTAAGCTCAAAATTTGTTAATGAAAATATTTTTGAGTAGCCTAATTTTATATACTATTTGTGATAATGAATGTACTTTTGTGTATTACTTTCGAATGTACCATATATGGGTCTGGGTATCTTCTCCCAAAGCGGGCGTGAGTATTAATATTGAATAGGCCTACAATAAATCAACTACACTAATCCCATTGAAAATGGGAAATCAGGKTATAATGGTTTTGTTGAAATGTATGTAACAGGCAGAAGGAGGCGTGGCAGACCTCACAAAGTACAGACATACATATATTCTTGATCAGGGCGACGAGCTGAGTCGATTTGGCCCTATCCGTCTGTCTGTCTGTCCGTCCGTCCGTCTGTCCATATGTCTGAACGCTTCGATTTCAAAAGATATGTATAAGAGCTAGAGACTTGAATATTTTTTTTAATGTCCGTATATATAGCTCAGATATCTCCAAAAATTGATAGCTGTTCTCGTTATTTTTTTAACGATTAAAAACATTATCGAAAATAAGATATTTAATTATATCTCCAATATCATTAAAGCTATAGTCGCCAAATTTTATAAGTAAATTAATATGTATTTTATAGAGTTTCGATTCTTGTTATAATTTACCCCCACCCCTATATTCACCCCTCATCCACACCTTTTTAAAAGGCGTATTTCAAATACTAACGAGTTGTGATTTGGCACAACACGTACTTTAATGTTATAAATACGATCTGAAAGTTTCAAACAATTAAGTTCCCATAGTAAGCCGACACTGCAGTCCATGCGTGTTTATGCGTGCATGCCTATATGGGAGTGCGTGTGTGAGTATTTCTTGTGTAAACGCAAAAAATTAACAACAAAAACACATATTTCCGCTTAAAACAGGAAGCAAAACAAAACTTTATTTAGCTATCTTTACTGCTATCAAATAAAGGTTTAATGATTAAGGTTAACTGTCACGATGACACCTCTATTGAGTGGCAAAACATTATGTGTATATGAATGTGTATCAATTGAGAAATTGGGAAATTTTCTATGTATTTTCTGTATGTATAATATTCTGGAATCGATTGTCTTTATCTATTATCAATTCAAAATCTTATCTTCAAGCATTTTTTTTTAAATTTTAATTATTATATATTTATTTACATTTACATAACGCCGTAGCCATCAACGTTTTAAATACATATTTGCTCATACATATACAATCTAAGGATTTAAAATCTTGATGGCTCCAACGACAGATTTTGAATTACAAAGTTCCGAAAGTGCTGCTATCAATAAAGTTAATTAAGAATCCTATTTATATAAATATTTATTTATATATAGAGGCTTCTTAACTAACTTATAAATATATACTTGTAAATAAGAAAAAAAATATATATATACATATGTATATGGCAAATTCTCTAGTTTAACACGGTAGGAGCAGCTTAATAGCGAAGAGGCTTTTTTTGCTTTTGATCCATATCGGATGATTATGTAGAGGCTTCGCTAGAGTGAGGATTTGATGAATTCGACATTAGACTTTTCTCTCCGATATATACGAATTCGAAGGAACTAGTGATGCCTACGAAATACGTCGGCAGCATGCCGAGCCCCTTAACGAATGTCATGCCGCGGTAATTACATTCTATCCCATATTTGGACAGAATAACGGCCGTCTCCTCGGTTACTTGTATTTCTCCAGCGACGCCGGTGGAGTCCATTCGCGAGGCCATGTTGACAGCATTACCCCAGATATCGTAATGCACCTGCGAGGCGCCCACTACCCCGGCCATCACCTCTCCACAGGATATACCAATGCTTATGTCGGCGTTAAATACAGCACGATCGATTGAAAGGTTCATATAATTATTCTTGCACACCCACAGCGTTCTCATTAGGTCCAATGCAAAGGTGGTTAGCACTAATACCACTTCCTCCCTTTTCTCAGTCAATGTATAATTTCCCCTTTGGGTAGACTCCGCCGAGACACGTCCCCGGTGGACTGCAATATAAAATGCATATTTATCTTTTGAATAGGCCTACTAATGTAGATACTCACTCTCCTGAAAAACAGAGTCGCCGATACCAGTTTCATCGCTTATCAGCGAGGAGAACCGTAGATCCAGGCCACAGGCTGCCATATATGTACAGCCGACAATCTTTATCTTTTCTACTAAATTGTCGTCTCTATAAAAATACAACTGCCGTAGGAAAAGGATGATGTCAAAACATTCAACTGGTACTCTATAGATAGCTCATACGATTTGATCAAATTGGACAATAATGTCGTTGAGGATATGCAAGTTGGGCAACGTCAAATCAAAATTTTGAAGCGAAGCGAACATGACGGCCACCATTTCATAGTCCTCATAGTAAAGTTCGCACTTGGCCACAGAGGTCAGATAGACGTTCACTGCATAAACCAATAGAGAAATTCTCATAACTATAACAATTGCATATCAAGTAAACAACTCTTCTTACCAACATGGGCCGGCAAGATGTTATGTAATAGAATAGTTATAGACTGATCGGTTATGCGAGCATCTTCCTGTTTTTTCAACAGCTCCTCCCTCCATCTAAAAAAAAAACTCTTGTGCTTCAGCGGTTTGCGTTTCAATTTTTACTCACTTGTAATTGATTTTGTTATTAAACTCAGCCTGTCGCTCCTGGAGATACAAAGTGCATATAGTAAATATAATCATTATTAAATGCGCGTATTCGGCTGGAAAATAAGGATTGGTTGTCCCGCCATCGTTAATTACGTCATCGAATTGATAAAGGAAGATGCTTGAATAGATGACGCTTATAAATAGGCTCACTATTATTTTCATGGTGAATGGAATACGAGTAAATATAATAGTCATGAAAATGATAAGGACCACTGAACAGGTGAGTTGCCACGGAGGGAAGCATTTGCAATCTTGGTCATATTTATACAGTATACTTTCAATTAACGCTAGCTGAAATTCTGCCTTATTACAGTCATCCTAAAAGAAACACAAATCTTAGTACTCAACCGTCATCCAGCCCAAATCGATGGCTACCCACCAGTATCATATATACGATTAGAATATACGTTATCATAAAGTAAATATAGACAGTGATCCTCTTGAAGAGACTGCACTGTAAATTGTCTACCATACGAAATATGGTGCAGCTAAGAGGGGAGTAGTTGTGGTAGTGCATAGAATAACGCCAAAAGCAGATCTTCTTATACCAAGCCAACAGTAGTATCAATGATAATGTGACGAATGTCAGAATGTCGAAATAGAAGCCGCTGGAATTGTGCTTATCGTCAACAACCAGATGCAGGTATATGAGACTCATAGCGCAACACCAAGCTAGAAGTACACTATATTTGAACATGTAGTCGGGCTGATGTAAATAGTTATATTCCAGTGCAGGATTTCGAAAATTTAAGAAAAAAGTTCCGATTTCTACACGGGACATACTAGGTAATTCTTGGTGGTTCTTTAAATTAAAGAGTTTACCGAAAAGCAGGGAAAATCTGTTAAAATATGTAAAATAATATTTATATACTATAAATCTCTAAAATCTTACCCATTGGGACCAAGGGGCATTTTTTTCAATTCTTCACTTAACAGTAGTCCAGAACTTGATTCCTGATGCTGAATAACATTGAAGGAATCATTGGACTCACTATCGAGCTCGGTTCCTTTTCCTTTATCATTTATACTAATTATGAGGTAGGTGATAATATTGTGCTTTTGAAGGTACGCATCTTCACGTGCGGCCTCAGAGCCAGGATATACTTCATACATATTTTTAATCATTTGGAGAGTTCTCTCACTGACATGAACTTGACCAGGCATTCCGGTTGCTTCTAATTTGTTCGCAATTAACACATCTTGACCTTACAGTGAAAAACATATGCATCGAACAAAGTACGACCAGTGATCCATCCTAAATTCAACTTACCCCAAATGTCATATTGCAGCTTCGTTGACCCAAGAACTCCTGCAAACAAACTTCCCGAGTGCACACCAACACGTATGTCTATGCCAATTTGGACCTCGTCTCTAAAAGTGTATAAAAAAGTACAAATATAAATATAAAATGCAAAATGCGAATGGGTGGCATGATATGAGCACCTACCGCACTTCCCGAATAATATCGATCATACAGAGTCCCAGTTTAACGCAGCATATGGCATGAGCGGGATCTGGTTTTATCAACCCCGCCACACAGTAGTAGCAGTCGCCTAAGAATTTGATTCGTTGCACAGCGTACCGAGAGGCAGCGTTATCGAATCTGGCATACAGCTCGTGCAGCAAAGTGACCAGCTCCTTAACGGATAAGGTTGTCGTCAAGTGGGTGTAGTTAACTATATCCGCATACAGAATACTGACGTTGGGATGCATTTGAATGGCAATTACTCGATCTCTTTTATTATTAGAGGGCAGATCGTGATGCTTCTGAGCGATCTTAATCCGATTTTGAATTTCATCTTGAATTGGTTGGGCTATTTGCGGCGGTAATATGGTATGCAGGAATATTCTTTCCGTCGCACGAGCGCTCCTTAGCGCAATATCTTCCATTACATACTGATGTCGATCAAGGAACGAGGCGCGGACAACAATCTCGCGCATTATCAAAAAGTAGGTGCACATCATATTTAGGGAAATATAATAGAAAAGAATTTCGATAGTTTCGCCAAATCGTGAATGTTCACCTAAACCTAAGCTGCCTAAAAATACTACATAATAAATAATATACATTGCAGACATAATAGCTGCAAGTCCCATTGCTGGTGGTATATCCGGAATAGGGAAAAACATATATATCATTATTATTATGTAGGTGTCAAAAAATGTCCCCAAGGCCCAATCATCGAAATGTTCATGGTAAAAATTAGTTCCCATATCTGTAAAAATATATTACATATGTATATATTATTGAACTTATATAGATTAAATATATAGATATATAAATTACAAACAAAAGTTTTCATAATTTTTAAAAGTTTTTATACCCCGAATCCATTGAAAATATGAAATCAAGGTATAAAGGTTTGAAAAGTATGTAAGAGGCAGAAGGAGGCGTAACAGACCCCACAAAATATATATTCTTGATCAAGACGACGAACTAAGTCGATTTAGCAGTCAGAAGAAGTAGGAGCTAAAGACCTAGAGGGTTCAGGGTATCTCCTAGTCGAGCAGTCTCGACTAGAGCCTTCTTACTTATTTTGTTCTCTTCCTGAGATCGGATCGTAATCATGTTATGTACAAATTTAAATTGAGCAATATTGCATGAGCTTTACCTACCTACAAGAAGAACACACAGCGCGGCAGTTGTAGATGTAACGTATTTTAACCACTTATGTTTCAGCCCAAGCTTCACATTTACATTGACCCACATAGCTAAAATAACGATAACAGTAGATACCATATAGCAGATCATATCCATGTATACTAATTCCAGATGCTGTGTCGACGAACAAAATTACTATAAATGCCGTTAGAATGTAATCACATTCATAATCATCAGCTCACCATGCATGTTGCTATCAGAAGACCGCAATGAAAAAGTGTGAGAAATGCATGCAACGCCTGAAACACGTACACGTTGTTGGCCCGAAGACGCATCTGGTGATAATGGAATTCGTCTTCTATACCCACCTCCTTACATTTTTTCTAAATCAGCATTAGTTCGGACACATTAATAGACTGCCGTAAATCAGTGCTTGCTGATTATACGATACCCTTAGAAATTGGTAGTCCCATCTTAGCTCTTTCCCATACGATAGTTTGCATTTCATGTTTAAAAACTACATAAATCAGATAATATTTTTTTATTTTTTTTTTTATTTTTAATTATTTTTTTGTATTTTATTTATTTTACTCTTTTTATTATTAATACTATAATTTATGGCTAAGGGAAAAGGCAACATAATCAATGAGTAGATGATCTAGAAGCTGCAAGCTCAAAATATTGAGTTATTTTATCTGTCGATCTGAGGACTTATAAAAACTACAGACTTAAAATTGTTGTGCAGGTCCCTATATTGCACACGAATATAAATAAAAAATTCAATTACTGTTACCGTTTTAATGGCATGGATTAAAAGCCTAATCAATCCAAGCATACTTCTTGTTTTTATACTACATATAAGTTGCAAAGTATATTTAAAGGCGCAGATTAAAGAGGATCTTCTACTTGCTATGCTCCAATTCAGAAACGGATATTTTACAACGCATTTACATACGTCGTAAAAATGATTCCATATAGAGAACTCACAATTTGTATTACACTCTTCCAAAGATATTTGGTTGCAATTCCAAAATCGCCTGCAATTGGCTATTAGGATTACCTACTTAGTACTGGAGGCGATCCCACTTCTGATTTTAAGGAATGCTAACTTTTCAAGTTCAGACATTTTGGACGCCTGCCATATGTTAGTTAGCAACCAAGGCTATAATTCGATATGTGTCAGTGCTTGCTTACAACTAACTCCTTTATCAATTACTCCTTGATTATATGGTTCTATCACATTATTAACATATGTAGGCAGCTTTGAAACATGAAATACACACTAACTTACACGAACGAATTAAAATGGAACTGCAGTTTTCTAAGGGTATTGTATAAGCATCGTATAAGCGGTCGATACCGACATAATATCAATCAATGCGTATTTACTAATTCCAAGTTTTTTTTTCCAGAAAAAGTGTAAAGAGGTGGGCATAGAGGAACAATACAAAGAGCACCAGTTGCGCCTTTCGATAAGCTACATAATCGTGTTTCAAGTGTTGCACTTTCTTTTCACAGTACTTCATTGCACTCTTTTGTTAACAACATGCGCGGTGAATATGAATTGTTGAAATATTCATAAGTGTAGCTCTACTCGATTTGTCTGCCCGTACAGGAGCTGGACTTAATATACGTGGACGTCGGCTGCTATTCGGTATGTGCTGTCGTCGTTATTGCAGTAATGTGGGCCAACGTCAAAGTGAAAAGCCCTTCGAAGCTTAGATGGATGACGTACGTTACATCGGTCATTGTCACAGCGATTCTTGTTTTCGTTGGTAGGTATTCACTTTAATGCTATCTATGTATCTATATATGCATTACATTATTTCTTTTACAGATCTGTCGCTTAATTACTACCACTATCATATAAATCAATGGGTATTGGCATCCATGTATGACTCATATGTTATACTCATGATATATATATTTTTTCCAATTCCTTATATCTTCCCACCGATGGCGCTGGCAGTTTATGTGTCAATTCTATACATTTGCTACTTTGTAATATTTCAAAATTATGACAATCAATTTCGCACAGGTAACATGACACGCTATAGCGAAACTATCGTTGTTCTATGCAATTACATTGGCTTAAGTGTGATCGGTACCGGATTTCGAGTAATGCGGGAGATTGTTGTCCGCGCCTCGTTCCTTGATCGACATCAGTATGTAATGGAAGCTAATGCGCTAAGGAGCACTCGTGCAAGGGAGAGGGTGTTCTTGCATAGCATATTACCGCCGCAAATAGCTCAGCCGATTCAAGATGAAATTCGAGCTCGGATTGAGCTCTCTCAGAAACACCACAACATGATTGTTAATAATAGGAGAGGTCGGGTAATTGCCATTCAAATGCATCCCGACGTCAGTATTCTGTATGCGGATATAGTTAACTACACCCACTTGACGACAACCTTATCCGTTAAGGAGCTGGTCACTTTGCTGCACGAGCTGTATGCCAGATTCGATAACGCTGCCTCTCGGTACGCTGTGCAACGAATCAAATTCTTAGGCGACTGCTACTACTGTGTGGCGGGGTTGATAAAACCAGATCCCGCTCATGCCATATGCTGCGTTAAACTGGGACTCTGTATGATCGATATTATTCGGGAAGTGCGGTAGGTGCTCATATCATGCCACCCATTCGCATTTTGCATTTTATATTTATATTTGTACTTTTTTATACACTTTTAGAGACGAGGTCCAAATTGGCATAGACATACGTGTTGGTGTGCACTCGGGAAGTTTGTTTGCAGGAGTTCTTGGGTCAGCGAAACTGCAATATGACATTTGGGGTAAGTTAAATTAAGATGGATGTCGTACTTTGTTCGATGCATATGTTTTTCACTGTAAGGTCCAGATGTCTTAATTGCGAACAAATTGGAGGGAACCGGAATGCCTGGTCAAGTTCATGTTAGCGAAAGAACTTTTGAATTGATTAAAAATTGGTTTGAAGCACGTCCTGGAACCGAGGCCGCGCGTAAAGATGCCTATTTTCAAAAGTTCAACATATTCACATTTCTCATAGATCCTATTGAAAACAACAAAAACATTGAATTGGATCTTCTAGAATCTTTTGAATCATTCTCAACGAAAGAGCTAAATGAAGGCACTCCTGAACTATTGATAAATGAAGAATTGAAAAAAATGCCGCTTGGTCCCAAAGGGTGAGACTGTATTTTGAAAAGCTGTGTTACTGACTATTTTTTTGTATACCCAAACAGATTTAATGAGCCCCTAACGAAAATGTTCAATTTTTTTAATTTGACGAAGCAGAAGGAGTCGCCAAAGTCCTCCCGTCCAGAAATTGGACTTTTTCTCTTACATTATCGCGATCCACGGTTGGAATGTCAGTATTTACATCAACCCGATTACATGTTGAAGTACAGTGTACTGCAAGCCTGGTGCTGCGCTATGAGCCTTATATACCTGCAACTTGTTTACGACCATGAATTGGTTAAAGGGTCTTATTATTTAGATTTCTTTTTGATATTTGCCTTTTCGGTATTATTGATTTTAACTTGGTACAAGATGATCTGCTTCTGGGTGTATGCCGACCGCCCTCATAGATTTTCCGAGCTTAGCTGTGCCCTATTTCGAATCGCGGATAATTTGCAGCGTAGCCTCATTAAACGCATATCTATCTATATTTTCATCATAGTGGCGTACTTTGCTATTATTTCTGTGATTTTGGTGAGTGATAACATATGTGGCTTGGATAAATACTAATAACTATATATTTATTTTATTTAGAATGACTGTGACATGGACGAATTCCAGAAAGAGCATATTGATAGCATACTGTACCAATATGAGGTCGAGAGTACAATGTGCTTCGCTCCGTGGGCACTCACCTGTATGGTGTGCTCTATAATTACCAATGGCATCATATTCACGCGTATTCCGTTCATTATGAGAATTGTAATCAGTCTTGTCGTGTGCGTTACCTATTTAAGCATTATGCTTTATGAATTTGAGTACTTAGTTCACATTAGCTTGACAACCAATCCCTTTTTTAAATCTGAAAGCGCCCACTGCCTAATGATCATATCGACTTTGCTGGCGGTATATTGTAAAGAACGGCAGGCCGAGTTTAATAACAAAATGAATTATAAGTGAGTACAAAATTCGTAATGCGAAAACCTGAGCCACATTGGGGTTTATTTTTAGATGGAGAGTAGAACTGCTGAAAAAACAGGAAGATGCCCGCTTAGCAGATCAGTCTATAACAATTCTATTGCATAACATACTTCCGGCCCATGTAGGTAGGTTTTATATACATAGGTAAATATAAATTGAATTGTGATGAACTAATTCTCTATTGGGTTATGCAGTAAACGTATATCTGACCTATCTTGCCAAAGACGAGCTTTACTATGAGGTCTATGACTGTGTCGCCGTCATGTTCGCATCCCTAAAAAACTTTGAGTTAACTTTGTCTAACTTACGTGTTCTCAACGAGATTATTTCCGAATTTGATCGACTCGTAAGACCTTCAAATTCCATAATCAATTTTCAGGTCTATTTTTCTGGTGTAGTTATCCTTTTATAGGCACGGTAATGTTGTAGAAAAGATCAAAATTGTGGGCAGTACATATATGGCAGCGTGTGGGTTGGATGTACGGTTATCCTCTCTCGTAAGTGAAAAGTGTCATACGACCGACTCTGTTTTCAAGGAGAGTGAGTAATCAATAAAGTTTTTGGTATATTTATGTGCATTATCTATATATTTCTGTTTAATTGTAGTCCACGCACGACCCTCGATGTCAGTCTTTTCAAGTGATAGTTTTTCCAATAAGAAGGATGAATTGGTATTCGTGATAGCTACCTTTGCATTGGACCTGATGCGAACATTGTGGGTGTGCAACAATGATTATAAGAACGTTCCAATTGATCGTGATGTATTTACCGCCGATATGAGCATTGGAATTTCAAGTGGAGAGGTGATGGCCGGTGTGGTGGGTGCCTCACAAGTGCACTACGATATTTGGGGTAATGCTGTTAATGTAGCCTCTCGAATGGACTCTACCGGAGTCGCTGGAAAAATCCAAGTGACCGAGGAGACGGCCACTATACTGCGCAAATTTGGACTAGTGTGTAGCTACCGCGGAATGACATTTGTCAAGGGGCTCGGCACACTGCCAACCTATTTTGTAGAAGTTGATAATAACTATGAATTCAAGTATGCCCGCGATATCAGTTCGGAAGATTCTCAGACAGACGTTAATTAAAACACTATGGCTCATCAAATTTGCTCGATTTAGGAAGCTGCCTAGTTCTTTCGACACTTTAATAGACTTTAATTTACCAATAAATAGATTTCCGTTGCGTTATGTAAGAAAAAATCATTCACGGGAAAGAAACGAAAATCAGCATATTAAATTATTGAAATTAAATAAATCAGATAATTTATAGATAAGATAATTTAAAATAAGAGTGCTCTAGTCAAGGCATGGTCTGCCTTGTGCGCTATATTATGATAACTTATTGAATGAATTCCAATAATAAGCGCCATAGCTTTCAATGGTGTGTATACGTGGTATCCAAAATCTGTAAATTACAAAATAGTATTTAATAGTATTTAAAGTTTGCTTAAGAAAAAAATAAATAAAATTTTCGATTATTGTCGACAAAAAGAAATTTACTTCGTATAGTATACACAAGTGGACATATGTACATGTAAAATTTAAAGTCTCTAGGTCTTATTACTTCTGATGATATCAGCGTTTATACGGATGGACAGAAGGGGTTGACTATATACGTACGTACATATACGTATGTATGTACATATACTCCGCACTTCGCGCTGATCAAGAATAAATATACTTTATAGGGTATGCCACGCATTAATACATTTTCACCAACTCATTTAATTTTAAGGGTATAAAAACCATAAACAATCCTTATAAGCCCAATTTTCCCTTGTTCGAGGTAAGCAGATTTTGTTCCACATTTACGTTCTAGTATTTAGTAGAAGGACCAACGCTCAAATATACATATATAAATATAAAGCAAACCAAACCATATTGTTGGCGCCGCTATGTTTAGTAGTTTGCTTCACATAATGTCTTTGAATGTGTTTCCCAAATTACCACTAGCGGTTTTGCTTGGATTCATCAGGCAAGAATTAGGCAAGAATAAAAAAAGAACAAATGACATATCACAAAAAATATATATAGTGATTCACAGATTTTCAATTGCAACGGATGTGGTAATTTTTAGTGCATTTACTTTTCAAATAACGATACATTCTAGTATTTTTTTGGTTGTTATTCACATTAACCATTTGGGACTATTATTTACTATTTAATCACCTTTTTCATTCTCCCTATTTTGTTTTTAGCGTTAAATATTCAAACGTGCTGTAAGAACTAAATAATACCACTAGTGATAATACTAAATAATAATTATCGGAAAATTAACTATCATAAATCGGTATATAATATCGCAATGTACAACAATTGCCATAATCGATAATATATCAACAAAGCTGAGTAAAAGTATTTATAGTGCACAGTGCACTCTATCTGCAATTAATTAAAACCACGAGCCAGTATTAAAACTTTATTAAAGTGAGAAAATAAAATTATTGGGGCGTTGGCATTTACTAAGTTATCTGCGACAGAACTTAGGCATCTATAGAAGTGAAGCTAATTTAAAATATTTAATCTACAATTTGATCACATTTTGCGGCTTTGTTCAAGGTCGTTGGCACCATTGCGCCGACGAGTGAACGAAGACTTACGCACTTTCATTTCCGTGAACACGCACAGAAAAATGGCCATAAGCTTTGAGAAACATCGTGCTCAAATCGTAGATGCTTGGAAAGATGTACTCAGCGCAAAGAGCAGCACCAATTGGGCCCTATTTGGCTATGAAGGCCAAACGAACGAACTAAAGCTAGTTGGAAAAGGAGATGGCGGCGTGGAGGAGTTAACCGAAGACCTAAATAGCGGTAAAATAATGTACGCATTCTTGCAAATCGAAGATCCGAAGACTGGCCTTAATAAATACCTGTTAATCAACTGGCAGGTGAGTCATTGTGTTCTGTATCAAAATTTAGTTGCTATCTTATCTAAATTTGCCGTCTCTTCGCATAGGGTGAGGGTGCTCCAGTCCTACGTAAAGGCACTTGCGCCAACCATATTCATGACGTGGGAAAATTATTATCCGGTGCACATTTGACAATTAATGCGCGTAATGAGGATGACATAGATCTGGAGCGTTTGTTAAAAAAATTGAGTACGGTTAGCTCGGCGTACAGCTTTAAGGAGCCGCGTGGCGTAATGGAGGAGCAAAAAGCGCCAGTTGGTACTAATTACACGCGTGTCATTCCCACTAAAGAGCTTAATGCCAGCGTAATGCAAGACTTCTGGAAAAAAGAGGAAGCTGACGAGAAGAAGCGAATTGGGGCTGAAAAAGAAGCCAAGCGATTACACCTTCTTAAACTCGAGCAAGAGCAACGAGCTCGCGAGGAAAAAGAGCACAATGAGCGTGAGAAGTTGGTAATAAGTACGACGAAGTTGCAGCCAGCTCATGTGCCGATTAAAACGTAATTATCTGTACATAAGCTCTTTTCCATTAATGTTAATCAAAAAATCTTTTAATTTTCAGCTCACCGCAACCATTGAGTCCAGAGAAAACAATTGGAAATTTTGCAAAAACCCTAACCGATGCTGAGCGTATGCGCCAGGCACGAAACCAAGAGGCACGTGAGTTGATTGGGTCGCGTGTGGGTGCTGCTAAGGCCATGTTCACCAAACACACTAGCGAGGGTCAGCTGCAGTCCAAGTAAGTTACCAAAAGTGAGCTGAGTTCAGCTGCAGTGGCATTGCTTTATTGTGTCAATTTCACCAATTTTAAATTGCAGACTAAATACTCAACCCCCGGCGAAGCCCGCCCGTAATTCTATTGCGCAACGTATAAATGTTTTCAATCACAGCCAGACGCAGGATACATCGATCCCTCTGGCTAAACAATCTGAGTCTGTGGATAAGAAACAAGTGGTCATTGAAGCTGCAGCGGAGGTTGAGCCACCAACTGTTTCAGTCACTGAAGCGAATTCTATTGCATCCATTACTGAGGAAGATGCACATCAATCTGAGGATTTGCCTTTGGCCCATGAGAGTGAACAATTCTCGACCATCAAACGGTCGCCTCACAGTAAAACAAACTCGGTGCAATCACAGTCACCAGACGAAACAACATCGTCGAATGAGACTGACACGGCTGTTTACAAGGAGGAAGAGGAGGTGCGCACTAAAGTTTCTGTGACCGTGCAGCAGTCTCAGTCGGTTAAGACGTCAGGCTTAAGCACGCTGGAACGCAATGCACGTACGTTTTTGGACTTGAGTAACATGAGTGTCATACACGATGCAGTTACTCTATTCCTTATTTAATACTTACAGTAACCGATTTGGTCAACGAGGATGACTTCATATGTCAGGAGACCTTGGGTGACTTGGGTCTCCGCGCACGTGCTTTGTATGACTATCAAGCAGCTGATGAGTCAGAAATAACATTTGATCCTGGTGATGTTATAACTCACATTGATCAGATCGACGAGGGCTGGTGGCAAGGCTTGGGCCCCGATGGAACCTATGGACTGTTTCCGGCAAACTATGTCGAGATTATCAACTAAAACCAACATTATTAGCAACTATACCCAAAATCGCATCTAATAAGGGAGCTGCAAAGCAGCTTCATCAGTTAATCTTAAATGCCATTGCTGTAATTTTATACATCTATATCTGAATTAGTTACACGTAAAGCGCGGCTGCCCAATATATACATATATATTGATATTGAACAATAATGCAGAACCATACTATACCTAATGAGATTTAAAATTGCCTATAAACGACTATAACACGGCTTAGGACGTACGTCGCACGCACCATGTTTTTACAGGTGCCTTCCATTTTAAGTATACATTTTATATCTGATTGTTAACCTTAAGATTTTGAAACACAGTTGCGTCCTTTTTAAATGTTTCTTTATGCACATGAGTATTTGTATTATCATATATATGTAGCCAATATATGTCTTATATGTACATGTATTATAGGGTGAGCGATACCTACATTTACTTTAATAATTAGTAACTCAAAAACTAATGCATTCGAAATTTCCTTGACTAACAGTTTAGCAATGCTGCAAGCACTTTTTTCCAATGAGATCATACTCAGTTCTGCTGGACGATTGCTGTTGCTTACATGGACCTGTGCAATTATTTATAAATATCTTGTGATATAAACTACATAATCAGCTTCTATTATATATATTTTTTTAATTGTAATGTTCTCAACAATAATTTGCAATTCTAAGCAGGCACTTTGTCGTGTATATATCATGTATTAACTTAAGCCTAGATCACATACCGGTGTATGTAATTGCGCATGTAAATGAAGTATATATAAGTATATATATATATATTTATATATATACTCCATTTACGAGTTTATACATCTGAAAAGAATTATATATGCTTCCCCAGCACCTRTTCAGATGTTCTTTCATCAAGAAAGTGCCGCTTGCCTCCGATATATTAAAAAATCATTTTTTAGCTCCCCCATTATTTTGATTTCATTTTGGTTAATTTGTATAGCTGCTTCGAAGCGGTGCTGTACAGGTGCCTTGACAATCATTCCGATGACTGTGTTACTGTTGTGATCTCAGCTTTGGGTGATTCCTTTGAATCGGTTGACGCAGCTTGTGATTCTGTTGTGGATTGGTCAGCGGCTATCTCTGCGTTACTCTGCGGCGGTGGTAGAGGTATAGGATCTTGGATTTTGGTTGCATCCAAGGGCTGCGGGGTAGCAGGTTCAGCGTTCGCTGAAGGCTCTTCCTCTTTGGCGAGTGCTGAACCTGCTGCCTCGGCACTGACTGCATTTTCCTCCACTCCAGATGTTCTTCTGCCGTTTTCCTCAGCTTTGGCGTCTAGCACATTAACTGATGCCTGTATGCATCTGTAAAGTTAACAATTTAGATATAGTTAAGATTAAAACTGGTAGAGAATCATTTTTTGTCTTACTTGATAGCTTCTTTACGCGCTAGCCGAATGCTATCCTTGCCGTTTGTGTCAATGGTGTCTAGCTTAAGAAGATTGCGTGTGAGCATCTCGTCCAGGTATACGTATTCCTTGTCTTGGCGAGTGCCTTTGAACTGCTCCACCTTGGCCATTAGATCCAGCACATCGCGCTGTATGTCCTGAATCTTTTTGATCGAGTCTACCGTATGCGGGGTCTGCGGCGGCACACCGGCACCAGCGTCCGTCTGCAATTGCTGGTCGCCTTGCGGCTGCTGAGTATTAAGTGGAGCAGGACGCTGCTGTTGACTGGGCTGCGTTGGTGCATGATGTGCCTGGGACCAGGCCTGCGAGTGAGCTTGACCGGCACCTGAATGACTCTGATTTGGTATCTCCTTATGGGCATTGATAACGGGCTCTGCACGACCCTCCACGAAAATCGGTATGGTGCGAACGTTGCTGCCGCCGGGTGTTTGAGGAAGCGGCGGTGTCTGCTGCTTCTGCTGGGGATGCGCTTGCTGCTGCGGGGCATAGTAAGTCTTATGAAATTGCGGCTGGCCCGTTCCCAGGTTTGGCTGCGCTGGTGGACTGGTCTGCGTGCTGAATTGTGGTGGATTCGTCTGTTGCTGGTACTGCTGATTTAGCTGCTGTTGCTCAGGTGGCGGCGCTGAGTGCGAACGCGGCCCTTGCTCTTGTTCAGCGGTGCTCTTCACGCCCATGTCCATGGTGTTGCGCAGTCCATGCTGGCTTAGATTCACAGTTGGTGCGCAATCGACCTCCGAGCGGCCAGCGGGGTCGTCCGTTTGAATTGCGGCATCGCAAAGCCGCTTCGAGGGCGACTGTGGCCCCTGCGGTTGTCCAGTCGATGCCGCCGATCCCGGCTGCTGGGGCACACCAAACTCTTGCTGGTAGTACTGCTGCGACGGCTGTGGACGCTGCTGAGATGGGACAGCTCGACGGCTGGCGAACCCCTCTGGTATGTATTGACGGAACTCCGATGGCAGTCTGTGAAAGAAATCATCGTCCGGCTCTATACTGCTGTTGGCGCCGCCGGATGCGCGAGCGCGCCGGCCAAGTGTTGAAAATTGCGGAAATCCAAAGTCTGCGGCATCGTCAAAATAATGAGAAAAGTCATCGTCAGCATGCATTGAGTGTGCCTGGGGATGGGTGGGAATATGGGGATCGTGCAAACTATTCCGCTTACGTGTGCCTCCAAAGCCAGCGAAGGGATCGTTGTTTAGACGGCCCAACCGTGACCGTCCAAACATATTTTCCATGTCCATGTCCATGKCCGGTTCAAATCCAAAGGGCTGCTGTGAATATGTAAAAATGCAAAATGACCAATGAGCAATGGAAAACGGAAACAATTAATTGCTTATTATTATTATTATGCAGAGAGCCAAAGGTCGTGCTTAGGCGCAAACGCTTCGTTGTTGTATACAGGTTCATCTATACATTTATGGTCACAAATAAGCGGATGATTCATGCCAATCGCAGTCAAAGTGGCTAACATGTCTATGTTTGTGTGTCTGTGTGGCTGTGTGTGGGCTTATGACGAATAATAAGAAATTGGAGCTGTAGTAAAAACAAGTGACGTCAGCGCATAAATAAACGCTTTGCTGTCTGTCCCCCATTCAGCGTAACAACATCATGTGTACACACACGCACACACGTACACGTATACATAAATGTATGCATGTACACATGTAAGAGCGTATTATAAACGGACATCACTTTTTTGTTTACAAGGTAAAACCTTCTCTTTGGATGTACACGTGTGTGTATGCATTTGTACATATGTATGTATGTATGATGATGTATTCGTTTACCTAAGTATGTATGCACACATGTGTATGTGCGTGTGTTCGTTCTGTGCCATTACCTATATTAAGTCGAGTGCTTGCTTTATCAGAAAATAGCGTCTCGAAATTCTCTTTGCCACTTTTTTTTTGCTTTTGTTTTCTGCTTTTGTGTTTTCTGCTCGTCTTTCCGTTAATGCGACGTGAAATGTTTCTCGTTCAACTGTTTTATTCTGAATGAGCCAGTGGGCAGCTGCCAACAGGCTTTTATTGAATTCATCGGACGCCCACAACGGCTGCAGTCGTTGCTCGACGTTTCTCGCAACTTCAGCCAGAGTGGAAATCGCTCTCACGACCTAACCTCACAGCTGAGAAAAGGCAGTATATGTATATCATGAGCCTATCGATGTAATCTTCGAGTGATTCGATAGTTTTCAAATGCTGGAAGGCTATATACACCATTTATGTATACATTCATATAGATGTGTGCCTATTCTATTTATCTTTACATACATATTTTGGCCTTTATCCTACATATATACAGTTGATATATCCTTGCTAAGCTCGTTTTTTTATATTTTTACAACAATTATAATAGATACATTTATTTTATTATATGTATTGATGTAATATTAGTTTCAATATCATACAAGCCTTTCCCACAGGCCCGAAGAAACGTATTTCAAATACTAGAGACTTGAGCTTTAGCATATACATATGTACATACACACTTCTGGATTACACTCTGGGAGTCTTCATTTAGAAAAGAAATCCAAATATGCAGGATGCATGCGAGTGTGTGTGCTAGCACTATTTTCTCTAATCTTTTGTAGATTTCCATAACATCCGTAACGGCATTCAGTGTATATTCAGTATCTTTATTTACTTGGTCACTATATCTAGTACTAACTATACAGCTAAGCTATGATAAATTTATTTACATTTCTCAAATATCTGTTTATTTAGTTGAGTTTAAGTTGAGTTCCTATTTATTGCTCGCAACTGTAGACACTCTATATATATAATTGCATAGCAGCAGTTGTTCATTTTTTTTTTTCAAATGTAAGATATTTGGATTTCGGAATTCATAGTAAACAAACGAAGTCCCTCTCCCGTCAGATACGCATGATGATCGTCTCGGCCCCTTTGACTTGGCCAACTATTTGAGCGAAAATGATTTTATTTTGTGAGCTGTCGTCGCCTACGCGGCGTATTATGTATACATCCGAATATACATATATATACAGACATGGACATATAGACACACATATATCTACCCACCCACATGCACACATTCATCAATATGTATATGTATGTATGTGTGAGGTGTGTTGTCTGTAAATATGTAAGCAAGTTAATGCACAGCTACAGCTACAGCGGCGATAGAGTAAGAAATAAAATCAAATTCAGCGTTCGCCAACAGCGAAATCTCTCTCGCGCTCTCCCTCTCTCTCTCTCTCTCTCTCTCTCTCTCTCTCGATTTCTATCGGTGGCTCTCACCAAGTGGGGACAACACTTGCGTTTGCCTATCATAGTGTACTTTCTAGAATTATATTAACCGAGCACAAATCGAATCCAAATCGAAATGGTCGTTTCTTTTTGTTCATATAAAACAATTCGTTTGACACTTTTGTGTGCGTGATAATTAGATTAGATAGCCAGCAGCAAGATCAGTCCAAGTGAAAACACTGCAGTTCAGCTGGTGCTGCTGTTGCAAGCTTACACTATATATTGCTCATACGCAGCGTTAACGGTCATCAGTTCAAGCACCTATGTACATGCATGCAGGCCTCTGATAAACACATACATGGATATGTACATGATCGCATGTAACGCTTCTCTGTACATATATTCTCCAAGTGCGAAACGAGGTTTATTCCGAGTATTTTTTGTGCATTCGGCGAGAACTAGCTAATTAAATTTCCATCGCCAAATACAATAGCAACAGCAACAAAAATAACAATAACAATAACAACAGCAACAATACAAAGGCGACCTTGTCGGGCGCCAAATTACGAGTCTACATACAGAGATGTACATATATGCAAGCGGGCAGAGAGACGACCTTGGCGCTGTAGCTGGCGCTGGCGCTGTCGCTGTCGCTGGCGCTGGCGCCATTGACTTTTTAGCCAGTCACTTACCTGAAAATGTTGCTGCGGCTGATTTGGAGGAACCTGCTGCTGTCGCGGTGATCCGTACGCTGGCTGGCTGTTGTAGAACTGCGGCGGCGCACGCTGCTGGGCATAGTGCTGCTGGGGCGAGGCGCTGTGCTCCCCTCCAATCCCAACGTACTCACGGCTGATGGGTATGCTGACGCCGGCCCCTGCGGGCGCCCCGTTGCCGCTGCCGTTGCTGCCGCCGCTGTTACCACCGGCTGCGCTGCCTGCGCTAGCTTGATTTGCTGCTATCACAGAGGGCTTCATTTTGGCTGCCACAAGCGTCTCTTTTCGTCACTTTCTGTTTCCGTCTCGAAGCGCTGCGATTAATTTCGAAATAAATTGAATTGAGTTTTTTTGCTACTGCTGCTTCTGCTTCTGGCTCTGCCTCTGCTGCTACTGTGGCTGCTACTGCTGCTGCCACTGCCGTTGCCGCTGTTTGTACGTTCGGCAGGCAGGTTCACCTTGAGAGCGACAATGTGTTTGCCCGTTAATTCTCGTACGTTCTGCAGCCGGCTGACGTCTTGTTGCGGCTGGTTCGATTTTCAAATTAGCCACACTTTCTTGTATGGCTTTTCGACAGCTCCGCTTGTGGGGATTATCTCAGCGACTTTTCCACAGCAATGAAACAGATTGCTAATTGCAACTTATTCTCCTCGCAATCGTATCCGTAACGGCTGACGTGATGTCACTCTTTGGCTACACTTTCTAACAGCCACGGCAGCTGTTTAGCGTTCAGCGTTCAGCGTTCAACGTTAAGCACACGCACACAAATGCAATTTCGACACTTTTTGCTCTTACGTACTTCCGTTGGCCACTTCAAGTTCTCTCTTCGTAGTCACGCGCTCTCTCTCTCTCTCTCTCTCTCTCACTGTGGCTATATCTCATGTACGCTTAGAATGATGCTTTTTATTTATATATTCAATTTAAATATACAACACCAATAGATAAAAATATTTTTGCACATTGCTGCTGAACGCACACACACGCACAAACCACGTAAGGCCACTTTTCCGTTAGTCTACAAATTCACGTTTACGACCACTGCTCGCCGCAAATGTTGCTCGTTGACTGAACGCAACTTTTTCGGTCGTTCGCTCGATGGCTCGATGGCTGGCTCGCTTTACGACTGCCTTGATGCTACCTTTGGCCACCACAAAGTCTCCCCCACTCGCTCTCTTTCATACATTAAGAATGCTCTCTCATATTGACTCAATGGATAAGTTAGGCCAGCACGCGACTTGTTAACTTTGCTTGTGACGCTTTTTCGGATAACAGTTAAGTCCTAAAATGGTGATTACACTGTGCCTACAAATTGTAGTCGACAGTGTTTTTCTTTATATTTTACATTCTCTCCGTCTTTCTCTCTCTATCGCTTTCTCAATTTTTGTCTAACGAAATCAACGTTCATTTGCTCTCTGCGCCGATCGTGAGCCATTTGAGCGCCCAAGATTCACACACATCAGATTTATTAATAGCCAGTGCCAGCAATACCTACTACAACAATAATAATCAGCTGAGTATCTAAATGCTGCTCGAGAGAGCGAATTCCGTTGGCTGAAACTGAGCAGCAATGACAGTCGCATGGCTTCCGAACCAGCTCAGAGCATACGGAATAACATTTACGTATGTATGTACTTTGTATGTATATATGTATGTATATCCGCATAAACAAAGGCAATGTCCAATGCACATTTCAAGCTATACTTAAAACGTTTTCACATGCATTGTAATTGTATGTAGCTGCTGCCAAATGCAATTGCCTAGTGACTTAAATTGCTGCACACATACACGAAAGACATTAATCGACCAATCGATCAGCCCGCTTATCGATATTAAGTAATCTACGCATGTATGGCACTTGCCGTAGTTACTGTTTAACTGTATTTTGACCAGCTGTTTACAGTTTGTTCTGGGCTACAGTGATGCGTCAGAGGTTGTCGCATTCCATGCAGAGGCATATTTCATGAGTTTGTATAAGATCTATATGTGTGTAAAAGTGTATACTATTCGAATATACCACCACACATACATATATACATACATATATACATACATATGTATATATCGCTTGGTCACTAGCGCGCCCACATAAAATCGTGCCTCGGCATGCCGCGTTGCCGCTATTTGCGTTCGATGTATTTTCCAAATAAATTCAGGCGTGGGCAACAGCTACAACACTGAGATCCACACCAGTGGCAGCTGAGCATATAAAGTGAAATAATTCATATTTAAATATTGCACACTTCTAATTACATACAGAACCATGTAGGTATATGTACATGTACATACATACACACATGTATGAAATTTAAATCCAATCAGATGTGYCTACAATTATACATATGTGCATACATACATATATTTAATTGGAATTGCAGTCTCATATATACACACATAAATATGTACGTAATGTGTACATATGTATGCGGGTATAGCCTCGCGCTCCTTTTTTAGCTAACTGAATGCTTAAAAAAAATAACAAAACTCCTTAAATCAGGTAGCTTCGATGAGTCGTCAACTATAACTAGGCATCATGATTGCACATTAAGCGGCACCTTCGATTGACCGAACGATTTCTTTCGCTCAGCCGCTCTCTTTCACTCTGCGTCTCTCTCCTTGATTTTCTTTGGTTCGTCCCTCTCTCATTCTCCCGCTACATTTTTTCGTTCTAGTCCTTGGTTAGTGATTATATAACCTTGTAAGAGAGCAATTATGAGTTGAGTGAGAGCTGTGTCGAGTGCTTTCAGTTCGCGCGCTTCTGATTCGGCTACGCACTGCGCATGCTCAGACTCTAGTGCTTCATTCATGTCTCTCGGCCCCGGCGTTTCACTCATTTTGCGTAGAGTCCAGCTCTTGGTTGGGTTAAGACTTTGTCTCAGTCTGCTAGCAGCGCTTGAGGTGCTTTAACGCTTCGGCTAATTGGGGCCCGTTACTTCTTTAAGGTTCATTCTCGCGCCGTTGTTGCGGTTGGACTTTGTTATTTTATTGTAGCTTTTTTGCTGGCTCGTTGGTATTTTTGCTGCCACTCGCTCCTTCCGATACACACTATTTTTCCATCTGCGAAATCGAGACACTTCAAGCGAAGCAAATAACTTTAAAAACAGTTATCAAAGTTGCCTGCTTAGTTCTACTCGAGGCAGCGCTGCACAATTCAGCAGCAAAACTACTCAACAACAACAAAATTKTATTCAAAATCAAAGCTCTGTGCGGTGTCCACGGCTGCAGACAACTTCGGAGTCGTCATAGTCCCTGCCGTTAGCGTCCTCTGGCGTTTTTTGCCCCGTGCGCCGAGTGTGATATAACAGCAGTGAAGGAGTGTCCATCTTAGCCTCTTCTCGCCTCTACATGTGTCCGTGTGTGCCCATGAAGCATTGAAGTGACGGCGACTCAACGTGGATCCCAGGAACAAAGTGAGGTAAGTCTTGTACCCTACTCATGGCAATCTATAATATCTATAATTTTGTTGCCGCTCTCCGGGCGCTTAGCCTTCCCCCCACCCGCTTCCCTGTTCCACGTTCCCGCTCTCGCCCAGCGTTTGGGAAATTAATGCAAATGTAAATGGTTGGAAAAATTACTTTGCAGGATGGCGTAATTTGCACTTATTCGTTGGTTTTTAGCTGATTTTTTACGAGTACTACGAAAAATGTCTGCACGCAACTTGGAAATTAGCCTAGCGCTCAGACTATCCTTTTCGGCATCGCAAAGAGCTGCGCCACAAGTCGTATGAGTAATATTTAGGCCCGTGTCACTGCCCTATTACACAGTCTGTGTGTTGCTCGTAGTTTGCAGCGGCTCTAAATTGGTGTGAAAATGCGCCATTTCTTTTCTTTTTTCGGCAACTGAAACACTTTCAGGACACTTGGCCAGTTGGCCGCTTGGCCACCCCATAGGACGCTAAGGCGTTCTCCTTGTCCTTTCACAGCTGAGTGCGGCATTCATATTAGATGACGATGATTTTCGATGGGAATTGCCGCTTGCTGATGAGGCACAATGTAGATGGAATGCTCAGATGACGTTTAATTCGCACATGCATAGCTGTACTTACCCATGCACACAAGACCTGCTCCCTAATGAGCGTGAATAGGATTTTCTGTTTTGAATAGATTTCGAATCTGAATTACAGTTACTCGAGACTAACTAAAGATTCGCTTGACTTCAGGGAATTGCCAAATAATAGATTATGTTTAATTTGTTTTCATTTAATGCTAGAATTCTTAGAATGTTAGAATTTAATTTATTATTTAGAATCTTTTGAGAAATATTGCTTAAGCTTATCAAAAATGCAGTGAAAGACTTTCAAAGAATTTTAAATATTTTTTTCTTAAATGCTGAATGTTAAATGGATGTTGGAAAGGCATGCCATACGGAAATATATGTACTCTGATAAATAGATAGACAAGTCTAATAATAATATTCATAATTATACTCATTCCTGAAAGTTGAAATGAATATATTGGCTTTGTGCATGTCCGTCTTCCTGTCCGACTGTCCGTATGAACGAAATTTTTCCGCCGCTACTGAAGCTAAGGATTTGAAATTTGGCACACATACTCGTATATTCTCAATTTTATAAAAATTATATATCCAAATCCAAATCCAAATTAGATCTGATTTTTCTAATTCTGCTACATTTTTGTCACTATTGCTGCTAGAGACCGGATATGTATATACTCGGGTTCATCACCCAAGATATATCGACGCCCACAGGGGGCGTGACAAACCACAAAAGTTTATAAAATTTTTTTTTTTTAATAATTGAGTAACTGGAAACCTCTTAGGGGATTGGCATATCGAAGAATACCCTGAACGTAAGCGTCAAAAATTTACAGTTACGCTAATTCTGCCACATTTTAAAAGCTGGTCAAAAATTATGAGCCCACGCCTTTTAGAGGCGTGGCGTATACTGTATTACTAGTTTTCCTCTCCATGTTGTCAATCGAATTTGTTGAGCTTATATTAATTTATGTATAATCAATTTTCTTTAGGATCTGATCTATCACCTAACACAGTGGAGCACTGAAAATCCTTTAACTATAATCGAATATAAGTATTTGTCGACCGGTGTGCTCTTATGTCTTAAACTCGTATATGTAATTATCTGTATTTTCTAAATAGCGTTTTAGTTGACGTTTAGCCATATGTTTTCAGGCTTGCATGCGCTTCAGTTTCGGTAGTTAATTCAGAGTGAGTCTCTTTCCCGGAATGCACGTAAACGTAATTAAGCCTAAAAACAAATTGAGTTTCGTATAATTTCCCCCGTGCAACATTTGCAGTTTGAATGTGTCGAAGTAAATTTGCTATGCAGGTCTCGATTTACAAAACATTTTCTGGACACATGTGTGACCTTGTAAATTAATTATTTAAATTAACTGAAATTTTGCAAGCCTCCACAATTTGTGAGTTGGGCTAAGGCCCTCCTTCCGTTTAGAAGCGGTATATGCATTAGCTGGCGACCTCGAGCACTTGTTTGTGTATTCGCGTGGGCCGTAGCCCCCGTGGTTCAAGCCAACGCAACAAGCGCAATTAGCCGGGATAAATGGCAGCTAGTTAACTGCCGGAATTCGCCCCTAGCTGTGCATAGCCCAAGGTAAACTGAAGGATGGACATGTGCTAGCGCTCGCAGACCGCATTCCAGGCTCTTCCTTGGCATCAGCTTTCAAGGCTTTGTTTGGTTAGGAACTCAAAATGGCAAACAACTGTGACCGGCAGCCATTGGCATTGTAATAAATCCTGTGCTATGGAATAGGATCCCTCAAAAGAGCATGATATCAGCAGTTTTCCCAGTTTCCACAGCTTCCCCCATTGTCCTGATTGTTAGCGTCTGATGGCTGTTTACTTGTATGCTAATAAACTAGTTTATGACAGCACATGGCATCGTCCTGCCTTTGCTGTACCTACACTTTCCAGTGGGGTATGATGACTTTAATGAATGCGTCGCACCTAATTTCATAAGAGTCTACGTCTGATCTAGGAATATGTTATGACTTGTCGAGCTGATAAGGCAACGCTAAAAGACTTTAATTTATATAATACATTTATTAATTATCTTATATTGTCTAGTTTTCCCTGTCGATATATAGTTATCAAAGTTGAGCATTCCTCAGGAATTTGCAATGTGAAAGCTACTACTTAATCCAAGCGGTGATTATTATTGATTTATGTATTCCAATTTTGTTTATATATAAATATGTATTTATTGTATTAATTGCTCTCCTAACTGCAATAGTCAGATAACTGTTTATCATTGATAGATTGGAGTAGAGCTAGCTTTCAAATTGGTTTCTCAAATCGCATATGCTACTTTTTTATTCGCTCCGTATCCCTGTGAGTCTAGAGTCTACATTTTGCTGGACTATAAGAGAAACGGCAATACAATTTCTAGGTGCAGAGGCTCATTTAGTCGGTCACTCCCGACTATTGTTAGCAGTCTCTGTTGTTGTTTATCCCCCTTCAGGCTGTTGACTCCTCTTGACATTTGCTGAACCTCAGACATGGCGGCGCTAGTTGCCTGCCTTCCCTGCAGCCAGGCCTTGCTTTGTCTTTGCTTCGCTGGTTAATTCTTCATTGAGTTTCACTCAAATTTCCAGCCAGCAGCAAAAATCCAATTCGATCACATTCATTTTATTTTCGTCTGTGTGTGTGTGTTTCTTTTTATGGCGAATAGGTCCAAGAGGCGGACGTTTAATACAACAGTTTGCACAGTTCGTTGAGCCTCGGGCTAGCCGTTTTGTATTTACAGCACAGAGGCGAAATCCCGTAGGTGCCCAGTCGTTTGTTCTTTTTTAGGCAGTCCAATAAATTCTCAGAGCTTTACCCTGTGTATGTGTCTGTGTGTGTACAGCAGTTGCATGTATTTATTTTATTGCTAATGTTAAGTGTCTAAGCGGCATAATTGACTGCCCGTTAGGGCCTGACAGCCGGGGACAGTTGAATCCATGCCAATGTCAGCGCCCAGACCCGTAACCTCGTGACACGCCACGCGACATGCCTGGCTCTTGTTTTCCACAATTATTGAGCGGGCACAAGGTCACAGTGCCTGCTAATTTATGCAGACTGGCCATTAGAAAGCTTATAGAAATAGAAAATAAAAAATAGTAACTATCAGATAAATATTAAAAACATGGCTAGTTTCGTGTGGCCTGCAAAGAAATTCATTTCGCGCAAAACCCTTTGCCAATCAGTAAAGTGAAAAAGTTGGCACCAAACATAAGAAAAACGGGAAACACTGCAGATCTAGGGACTTAACAGAACTTTGAGATACCCTGAGATCTACCCTAGATACTCATAAAAAGTCTGAACACAAAATGGTGACAAAAGCAAGTCTACATTTTAATATAATAAATAACCGACAAGAATGTATATAGAATGTATATCACGCAGTTAATTACTTTACCATCCCATTGCCACGCCCCCACGGAGGCACATTTATATAGATATTCGTATATCGATATCCATACAAATGTCTATAGTATTGGTCCTATATAACTCTGAATATAGTTCAACTCGGTCTTCTTTTCGTGAGGGAATCATACTTCCTTAGCATTCTCCACGTTTACAGGGCATATAAAGGGGGCCAAATTGACTTCCCCTGTATAAATGCAGTGTACGTTGCCAAAAGTTCTTGCTTAATTGAAGCTGACCGTAAATTTGAATAGTATTTCCGTTGCACCTAAAGGTAGACATCACTTTTTATTATTGCCTCCATCTTTCGGTAGCCAAATGAATTCACTAGTTGCAATTATTGATTTTCTCCGTATACGAGAGAAATTAAGTGAAAATACAGCAAAATGTAATTGACTGAGTAATGTATATATGATAAAAGAAGACTGAGCTTTAGTTAAGTGTCCTGACTACAGGATACAACTCCTAAAGTAGTATTCGGATCTAATTCGATACTAGATCAATTATACATAACAGAGAATCTGGTGGCTGGATACTACACACCACATTCGAGTTACTAAATATTTAATACTAAATTTTAAGTACTACATACTAGATACTAGAGAGAGACTAAACATACTAGATACAAGATATTAGGTACTAATCACTGGATGCTAAGTGTTCGATATTATTCAGTAGTCTACCAATTACTAATTACTATAAAAGATAAAAATACCTAAATACTACACTAGATACTAGCACTAACCGTACAATGTATGGTTAGTGATACTAGAAACTAAATTCTGAATTTTAGATATGAAATACTAAATACTACATACGTGTATATTAGATAAAAATACCTGAATACCTCTGCGATTGAGTTAGTATTACATTTTGTCAATCATGTGTTCCTCCAAGTGCTCGACAAATACAGTCAAGCGAACTTCTGCACAGTTTCATTGAAAGCTCTTTGAGCAAATGCGATGTGAAATTTGACGAAATGTGAAGGTCCTAAAATTGTTTGGTCAATGGATGAGCGGAGGCATAAGCTGACAGACACACATGGAGCAACGCCCACCTGCACAAACGTGTACCAATTGAATTGAATGACGTTGGTATCGCTACAGCCACCCACAGAGCATTGGGTGTCGACTATTTTTAGCTGATGCCTATCTTCATCTGATGGGTACACTCCACTAGTCCATGTCGGCGATGGCCCAAAGAAGGTAACCAGCCATTTGTGTGATCAATTGCCTGCGATGGCACTATCAGAAGAGCTGGCTGCGACCATTAGCATACCCTGTACTTATGGCAAATGGGCTATACTGTATACTGATTTAGGTTAGTCGATTCCTCCGTTCATCCACGACTATGGAGAGCATAGTTCACAGCTCATAAGGACAGCTTAGACTACCCTTTCTTTCAAACCATCAACCCAATAAACGGGGGGTTTCATGGAACTTGATTTTACAGAAGGAGGTGTGGCAGAGCCCTTTGTCAGGATGACGAGCTTAGCCCCTTTTAAACATTCTGGGCATATTTGTCCGCCCCTCTATGTGTCTAGAGTTAGGCCTGGAATTATTTTGCAGGCCCTCTATATAGTATGCATTTAACCTATGCTTAGTTATGAAGCTATGATCAAAATGATCTCTAGCCCGAGTAATTTCTGGGGAGTATTAGTTGGTGAATCATTTGAATTTGCTAGTAAACTACAGAATTTCTTCGTCGGGCACTCCCGACTGCAGTTGTTAAACTTAATTGTGGCTTTTGTAGTGCGGCCTTCAGCAGGGTAATGTAAGAGGAGGGGAACGGGTAGCTGAAGGAAAGAGGGCTTGTTGGCTGTTGTTAAATGGCAGCTGTTACGACAAGAAACGTGCCACACGTGCTCTATCTTGGGCCATCTTTTTGTCAGTCAGTCAGTTAGTCAGTCAGTCAGTCAGTCGGTCCGTAAGATGACAGGATGCCAGGTAGGAAATATAACAAAGCTTCACTTACACTCATTGCGCTCACAAGTAATTTATGTAAATATGGTTAATTCTAAAAGCGCCTGCCAGGTGGGCTGAGCATAAAGTGTGCATACATGCTGGAATGGCTGCTTGGAGGGCTGGATGGGCTAAGCAGCGTCTGCTGTTTGCTACATAAGTCAAGGCTTGGCAGGCCAAGCAGCGTCGCGACTTTGTGGATTGGATTATGAGCTAGTCTCTGTTTTCAGTCACGGTCAAACACCCAGACACCTGTTGTAGCTCGGCCCTAATCCTTGTCTGCTTTGGAGGGCCACGAACATCGCGAACATCACGGAACAGTCAGTTGCTTATGCGACCCTTGGCATTCAGACTCAATTGTAGCACGCTGAACAGGCCCAGCTGCAATCCTCCGCCGATTCGGTTTGACTGCCTGTCTGACAGTATGTCTGTCCCACTAATGAGTTGCCTACGTCAAGGATTGTTTACTTCCGCGACGGATGCACTGTCTCTATTGTCTAGGCCACGAATGCCTGTTTGTTGGTGGAGGTAACTTTTGTGTTCTTCTCCTTGTGCTAGGCCAGCCTCGCCTTGGCTTTCGACTTGTGGAGCAGGAGGCAGGCAAACCGATGACAGTCGCAACAGCTGTCACTTATACTTCATACCTTTACCATGGGCAGCCACAAACAATACGCAACCATATGAACAACCGGCGGATTGCTGTGTGTGTGTGTGTGTTTATGTGTGTGGTTGCCATCGCACTTCCTGCACTTTCACTTTCATTTGCATATTGCATATTCGGTATTCCATATTGCATATTCTCCACGAACTTGTCAAATAAACAATTTTCTCTTTATTTTTATTCTACTTTAAGGCCTTGACCATTGAAGGAGGGTGCTCGCGACATTTAAATGAAGAATCATGGGGAATGGTATGAACAAGGTAAGAACTCATTATATATATATATA